TACATGTACCATTTATAAAAACAGACACAGAGCTCCTCTGTAACACCCTTTGTAAATTCATCAGATATGAAATAATTATCTCTAGTACACATTTTATAGTCTCCCTCTGAAATAGGCAGACCTTGGGGTCTGTTCACGAAAGTGGGGAGACAGTGAAGGAAGATGATTTTTAGGGGCTCCAGGACTGATGATTTTCCTTCATTTAACTTATTTCTTATAACTCTAGAGGTGCTGTCAGATATTTAGAGTATCACACAAAAATATATTTCTCCTTTTCTTGCACTTTTAGTGATGCTAAGAAGTTATGTATGTAGACTTTAGGGGCTTTTAATTCAAGATAGACATTTAATTCAGGGTTCAGTATGGGCTTCATTTTCCACCCTGATTTTTTGGAGCTGATTAGGCAATATTATTCATGACTAAAACTTATTTTTCATATAAAGTTCAAGGATGAATGGGAAATAGGAATTATCGCACTAAATGTAGCATTTAATCCATTAAGGGGAAAATCAAGAAATTTCAGCTACATTTTAGATTTAAAGCCAAGAAGGATATTAAAAATTATCATCATCCCTTTTAAGTGTTTTAGTGGCAAAATGCCAGGCTGCTGTGAAGGATCCTTTTATGCAAGGGCAGACTTTCAAGGGGAGCAATGAGATGGTTTATTAGAGATGGAGGAGGCTAAAGCAGGGACTGGCCTTTTATGGCGAGTTTTCATGTTACCTGTGGATGGAATACAGACTTTCAGTCTGTGTGACAGTCTGGATATGTGAGTGACTTGAAGTGAACTATGACATCCAAAAAGTTATTATTAGTGCCCCCGTATCAGCAGAGATAGGACTTTAGGTGTGTGCTGTGGAAGCCAACGCAAGCACGACCCGCTGAACACTTTTGTTGCTGCCTTCGGTAAGGACCTGATGGCATCTTTGTCACATCTGCAGACCCTGTGAGGCTGAGAGACAGAACGAGTGTGCTAAGTTTCAGAATCTGGATTAAATAAGACTCTAACATTGGTAATGTTGGTCTGAAGTTAGTGAAATAAGAGTTAAGGACCAAGGCCAAAACTCGCACCCAAATTGTCACTGTTTACGTAATAAATGCAGGGGAATCATTACTTTATGAAAACATTATTTTTAAATGAGATTTTAAAGTTAATTGTACATTTATCTGGGAGGCCAAGGCAGGTAGACTGCTTGAGCTCAAGAGTTTGAGACAAGCTTAAACAAGAGCAAGACCCCATGTCTAACAAGTAGAAAAACTAGGCGGGCATTATGGCAGGTGTCTGTAGTCCCAGCTAGTCAGAAGGCTTAGGCAGGAGGATTGCTTGAGCTCAGGAGTTTGAGGTTGCTGTGAGCTATGATGATGCCACACAGCACTCTAGCTTGGGTGACAGAAAGGGACTCTGCCTCAAAAAAAAAAAAAAAAGTATATTTAGGCGGTGCCTGTGGCTCAGTGAGTAGGACACTGGCCCCATATACCCAGGGTGGTAAGGTCGAACCTGGCTCCAGCCAAACTGCAACAAAAAAAATAGCCGGGTGTTGCAGCAGGCGCCTGTAGTCCCAGCTACTTGGGAGGCTGAGGCAAGAGAGTCGGCTAAGCCCAAGAGCTGGAGGTTGCTGTGAGCTGTGACGCCACAGCACTCTACCGAGGGCAACAAAGTGAGACTCTGTCTCTTATTAAAAAAAAAAGTGCATTTAATGGAGCCAATATTGTAACATAGCTGCCAAAAAAGTGACACTATCTTTTTATTAATAAGTAGTGCCTGTAGCTCAGTGGCTAGGGCGCCAGCCATCAGACCTGGTGGGTTCAAACTCAGCCCCGGCCTGCCAACAATGACAACTACAACAAAATAGCTAGGTATTGTGGCCGGCACCTGTAGTCCCAGCTACTTGGGAGGCTGAGGCAAGAGAATCACTTAAGCCCAAGAGTTTGAGGTTGCTGTGAGATGTGACACCATGGCACTCTACCAAGGGTGACATAGTGAGACTCTGTCTCAAAAAATAAATAAATAGCATTTACTGAAAAATGTTACCTTTGCTGTGTTTAGTACTAGTCAGATAACACTTGACTACTGTATACATGTCTGGACGCTGAGCTTTAAAAGGGACATTGACAATATGGAGCCTGTCCCAGAGAGATGAATGCTGTTAGAGGCTTTCCATCTGGAGGCAGACTTGACTCCTTGTGGAAATGTTCTCCCAGTGCCCTTCACCAACCAGTGGGTTTCAGGCACTCCTGAAACAGAAGTGGCAGTGAGACTATTCTGTTCTTACAGAGATTTATTCTAATGAGGAGAAGACATACTAAATAAACTAAGAATTTCAAACAATGATAAGTACTAAAAAGGAACTAGAATAGGGTAATACAACAGTGATTGGTGATTGCTGTCTACATACTGGAGATGGGAGTGGTAGGAAGATGTGGAGAGAATTGGATGTATCTGGGCGGAAGAGGTAAAGCCAGCAGGTCGTGGGGGTGGGTTGGACGTGGGATAGAGGACAATCCCTGTGGAGAGGACTTGAGGCAGAAAGAGATTGGTATGGAGTGTGAGGGTGGACCGTCATCAAGAGCACTGTTTGCCTGGTTAAGTGTTAGGCGCCCCTTAGATAGCCCGGGTAGGTGTCAGAGAGAAAGTGGGCCCAGGAGAATTGAGCTCAGTGGGCCAGTCACACGCCTGAGAGTCCTCAGCACATCTGTGTTCCAAGGCACAGGTAAGACCAAGGTAATTAGGGTAGAGTGAAAGAGAGAGAGGGCTGAAGTTTAAGCCTTGATGACCTCAGTATTCAGAGGAAAATTCAGCAAGAGACCCAGAAGCTGCCCGTGGGACAGGAGGGAAATAAGAAGAGTGTTCTCTATGTCCCCAGAGCCTGCGTCTTGTCATGATTTGAATACCCCAAAATGTGATAGGCCGTGTCTGGGGAGTGAGGCATTCAGCTGCTTCAGATGGTTTTCAAAGAAATGCTGAGCTCAGACTGTCTGTGGTCTGGGAAACTGAAACAATGTGGGTGGGAGCCGTGCAGGTGCGACAGAATCGCTGTAACGTCTCATCCAGCTGATCTATCACGGAGCCTCTTATCACACGGACCTTAAATATGAGTGTAGAGAAGTAAGCCTTTCCTTGATTAAGAATTTAGGACACATGGCAAAGCTCTCTGCCTCTTACCTCACACATGAAGGGTCTAGTGTTCACAGCTGATATTTTCCAGTGGGAAGAACATAAATTAGAAAAGAGACCTGTTGTATGAGATAATAGTCAATTAATGCTAGAGAACACAACAACTCGTCTAAGCACAGAATTACAAACACGGAAAGCTCAGCTACACTGTTTTCAATGTAAGCCTATTTGTTTCAAAAAATTATCTTTCTTAGCCTTTGATATCCTTTGGCAGCCCAGAATGCCCATCTGTTAACTGGTACTCCACGTAATTCTGGGCAGATCAGTCCAGGACCCTGGAAGGCAAAACACTAGTCTAGACCTGATTCTGCAGCAGAATCTGTCACTTTTCCAGTGACAAAAGTGTCATGCCTTATTTTTATTAAAAAAATTTAGCTATGTAGTTTACATAATAGAAATAGAAATAGAAAACTGCAATATTAAATGAATGAAAACACCATACACAGAGCTTTTCCTTAGGTGAGTAATTATGAATTAAATTTTTACTTTTATAGAGGGGGAAAAAAGCTTTTGGGGAAGTTTTAACTCATTCCTAGTGATTTATCCAACTTGCTTTGGGGAAGCAGTCTAACCTCGAGTTTGTTTTCAAGGAAATAGTGACTTAAGAAAGGTAGCCAATAAACTTTTAAGTATTTTTTTTTTTTTTTAGCAATAGAACAAATCAGTTATTTAGAAACTTTAGTTAGGGGTAAGGAGCCCTTACCAAAAACTAAAATAACATGCTTTCAGATCTGTTTCTTTTTCTGATTCCAGCATGTATTCTTAAACTCAGGTAGTTTCCAAGTTCTCATCATCTTTGATGGCACAGAAATAGTGCTTGCTCCAGTGTCCAGCACCGCATCCCTGCTGGGCCTCCGGGACACACTCTCTGAAGGACAGTTGTGTGCGGCCTCCATGTGCCGTTTCCTACCTTTAGTTATGAGATCTGCTTGCTTATTTATGGCCCTGAAGAATTCTTTATTACCTCTTCAAATTCTAGGAATCCCTTCAAAAATTAAAGCTGAGAACCAACAATACCACAGATTTGATTCTGTTAGTTACAAATGTAACCAACATATTCCTGGAACCAATTCTGCCTAAGAGACAGAGAATTCTACCATGTTGGGGTGGGCTAGAGGGGTGCTCTGTTCAAAAGGTCAGGTGTTTTCTTAAATTTGACACTAATTAAGTGAAAAAAATTTACACAAAATACTGTATTAATTCAGTTTTCGGTTGATCTCAAATAAAGATCATCTCACAGGTTTACAATTCTGAAAAGGCGCTGCTGGATGGGCAAGCACAAAGTTTACCTCTAGAGCTATCACCTTAAAGCATGGAGGCAAGTGATTCATCTGGCATCCGGTGATTTCTAACTCCAGTCCTCTATCTGAGCTTGTAACATACCTGAGGTAATTAGAATATATACATATGTATTTAAACCCGGTAGCTTGGTTAACTAAGCACTAGTAGAAAAAAACCGACATCAGATGTAATTGGGACTTTGAAGGGCTTTTATTTCTTTCAGCCCTTAAAGGTCTTTCATTTCTTCCTCCTTCCCTTCATTCATTTTTCTTCCTCCCTTCCCTAATTTATTGTTCCAGACACAGCAAATGCCAGATATTTGATTTGAAGACTCGTAATACATCTAGGTAATAAAATTGAGACTCTCTATAAAGATTAATAGACCCCTGCCTTGAAATTATCATTAGTCTTCTGGTTTACACATGTCCATAGCATAGGTGCCAAATTAAAAAATTACATCAAACCACAGCGTTTTGGAGATCATTTGGAAGGAAATACTTAAATGTGAATCACGCGTTTCTTTCCAGTGCAGTGTATGAACTTCACCCCGACCGCAGTTGTGATTGTTTTTAGTTTGTTAGCTGCCTGGAGTGTTATTTTAGGAAAGCAGAAGCAACTTCATTTGCACACTCCTTAGAGACCACACACCTTAACCGGACCCTTTGGCTCCGGTTTTTCAAAAGAAGTCAAGATGAAGAACCACTTACTTGCCTGGGGACTCCTGGCCATTTTTGTTAAGGGCGTTCTTGTGACAGGTATGTGGCATTTAGAAAATGAATCCAGAGAAAAGGAAAAACATAGCACAGCTCTGGTTTTCAAAGCATGTTATCTGGCAGCGATCTTTACACAGACGAGACTCAGGGTGACTCTTTTCATTCTTTTTTCTTTTCTGGTAGTTGTTTTTCTGCTACCAGCGGGAGAATAAGAAAGTAGGTATTTTTGGATAACTATGGATAGTTTTACTTATATGAATGTCTGTAGGAAATTTTGAAATCACTAATCCTTCCCTCGAGTCTCTTAAATTAATATTCTGGAAAAGTTAAGTTATAACTACTGTAAGTACAATATATAATGCACTGGGATTTTATTTCTCCAGAGAGATTGGACTTAGTCTTAACAACTTTCCTGGATCACAGGATTTATTATGACTCCTTAATGATATATACATTTTTTTATTGTTTGGGATTCAGTGAGGGTTCAAAGAATTAGGTTGCACTGATTCTTTAATAATATGTAATGTTATATAGGTTGCTTATAAATTGATAGCTAACCATCTGTTATTTTCTTTTTCTTTTTATTAAATGATAGCTGTGTACATTAATGCAATCATGGGGTACGGTGTGGTGCGTTATTTTCTTTATTGATCTTTCCAACAAATGTAGAAAATGGAATATGTTTTAAACATACATGTCTTGTATTAAATGATTTTTCTCTAGAAGGTCACATGAAGAGTGTGGCTGGATTAGTTTTTTCTAATGCTTAATGAATCTTGGTTCCTATTTCAAGGCATGAGGCAGGTGGATTGCTTCAGCTCAGGAATTCAAGTCCAGCCTGAGCAAGAGCGAGACCCTGTCTCTAAAAGTAGCTGGGCGTTGTGGCAGGTGCCTGTAGTCCCAGCTACGTGGGAGGCTGAGGCAAGAGAATCACTTGAGCCCAAGAGTTAGAGGTTGCTGTGAGCTGTGATGCCACGAACTCTACCCAAGGGCAACAAAGTGAGACTGTCTCAAAAAAAAAAAGCAAAGAACAGTTACATAAAGTAGTGTACAACATGTGCATATGTGGATGTATCTGTAAACGTGTTTATGTGCCTGTAAACATGTACATAAAATGTGCGTGTGCAGCTATGCAGGTGCTCAGGGACTTGCCCTGGGGTCATATCCCTATGGACATACTGTGAACTGGAAGTGTGCTGTGTTCAGTTTGCAGTGGGCTCACTGAGTGTCAACTATGTCATCAAGCTGGCTTTTGTATTGTCCTAAAGCGTGTAGGTCGAACCTTCATTATGTCTGAGACCGTCTGTGTGTAAAACAGGTTATCTCCTTTCCAGAAACCTGAGACTATCATTACTGTTAATATGTAAAAAAAAAAAAAAAAAATTAGGCAGCCAGGCAGCGCCTCTGTCTCAGTGAGTGAGGTGCCAGCCCCATATGCCGAGGGTGGCAGGACTTAATGAAGTGAGTTACTGTCACTTATTGAATACTATGTTCTAGGTGTTATGCTAACTGCTTCACTTGCGGAATTGTGTTTAATTCTCACAATAACTATATGAGGGTAGGTACTGTTATTATTTCTGACATATAGTTGAGCCAGTTGAGACTTCCTGAGGTAGAATAGCTCATCCAAATTCACACAGCAAGCACATGGCAGGTGGAACCCAGCCTGAGCCTGCAGCCCATCCTCCTAACCATGGTCCTATTCCAGCTGCAAGGGGCCCTTACCACATCCAGTGTGGCCATGTCTGGCATGCATTAAGTCTAGTTTCTTACTTGTTTGAACTGAATTAAATTAAATTTAATGAACATTCACTGAGTACCTCCTGGGTCTCAGGTGCTTTTAGAATACAGTAAGGCACAGTTCTTACTGACAGGTTTGTTAGGAAGAGTCCTGCCTGTCAGTGAGAAAAAAAGAATCTAAGTCTTGATGAACTGAATATATCTGGTAGATATATTAGGCTGCCTAATATTTTATTATTATTATTATTAATTAATTTATTTTTTTGAGACAGAGCCTCAAGCTGTCCCCCTGGGTAGAGTGCCGTGGCATTACAGCTCACAGCAACCTCCAACTCCTGGGCTCAAGTGAGTCTCCTGCCTCCGCCTCCCAAGTAGCTGGGACCACAGGCGCCCGCCACAACGCCTGGCCATTTTTTGGTTGCAGCCGTCATTGTTGTTTTTTGGCGGGTCCAGGCTGGGGATTCGAACCCGCCACCTTAGGTGTACGTGGCTGGCGCCTTAGCCGGTTGAGCTATAGGCGCCGAGCCTAATATTTTATTATTATTATTATTTTTTACAGACACAGTCTCACTTTGTTACCCTTGGGTAGAGTGCAGTTTGGCTGGGGCTGGGTTTGAACCTGCCACCCTCTGCACATGGGGCCAGAGGCACCGCCTAGCTGCCTAATTTTTGTTTTTTACATATTAACAGTAATGATAGTCTCAGGTTTCTGGAAAGGAGATACATTATATGCTTTGGTAGAACATAGACATTTTCTTTTTAAGACTTGGTCAAGCGAATCTCTATTTTTTTTTGGTCTGGCATTATGAGCTCATTTATATTTCACTGAGAAAAACATTTAAGAGCCATAGATGCAGAAGTGACGAGGAGGACACTAAGTCATTTTACTCTGTTCACAGCATCATTAGGAGTTATATCATTACCTTGAATTGATATAATTGGCTGCTTCTCCGATACCATATGGACTGTGTCAGAAGGTTCACTAAGCACTAATGAACACTGGCATGATGATGTGCTGTAAGCTACTGCACACAGTTCTGAGTACAGTAACAACGGTCTGAACGTGTCTTTGTAATGGCTGCACCATTCAGATGGAAATACTGCAGTCAGCTCCTCTCTGCTCTGGGAATCATCTGGGAATGGTTAGATTTCCAGTTACAATTATATCTATTCTCATCATTTGACTTTTATAACTTGAATTCGTGTGCTAAATCTTTGTTTTTTTAAATGAGGCTTCATGGGAGGAATTCTAAAAGGTCACGTTGGGCTGGGTGCGGTGGCTCACACCTATAATCCCAGCACTTGGGAGGCCGAGGCGGGTGGATTGCCTGAGCTCACAGGTTGGAGACCAGCCTGAGCAAGAGCAAGACCTCATCTCCAAAAATAGCTGGGCGTTGTGTCAGATACCTGTAGTCCCAGCTACTCAGAAGGCTGAGGCAAGAGAATTGCTTGAGCCTGAGATTTAGGTTGTTGTGAGCCATGACGCCACGGTAGTGAGACTCAGTCTCAAAAAATAAATAAATAAAAATAAATAAATGGTCACAGCTAAAATTATAGGGATAAAAAAGATATTTGATATAATTATTATTTTAATTAGCACTATTTTTTTTTTTTTTTAGTTTTTGGTCCAGGCTGAGTTTGAACCTGCCACCTCCAACATACGGGGCCAGCGCCTTACTCCTTGAGCCACAGGCACTACCCCTTAATTAGCACTATTAAGTAGAACCATTATTAACTCTTTAAAACCTGTTACCTGATACAAGTCCACATAATAGGAAATTTTCTGTTTGTTTGAGACATTAGCCAGGCCTTTGTGTCTAACATTCAGATTAGACTATGAATGTTGACAAAG